CGGTAATTTATTATTATTATCATTATTATTATCATTATCATTATCATTATTTAAAAAGGACGTCGTCTATATTCTACTGATTTCGTTTAAACTTATAGTTAAAATAGCAAGCTCCTTTCGTTTTTGATTTACCAGAGTGTGCCTGCTGTCTGTCCTGCCGGTAGGGAGCAGCAAAATGCCTAATTTAGTTTATTTGTACGAGTTTACAAATTTCCTTTATTTTTTTATTTAAATATATATATATATATATGTGTGTGTTAACAACAACAATAATAATAATGTTTTGATTTAAAGTTGGTTTTAGACCAACAGATTAATATATTGTTTGATTTAATCTATAATTTGCAAGAATTTATGTGAATTTATGACTGAGCTTTTTTTTATATCTTCAGATAATAGCACAATATTTATATGTTTTATCAATGCGAAACTATTTAGTTAATATTAAATTTCAAATGTTATATTTTATTTACATTTATTTATATAAGTTTAGAGGTTTGAATGCAACTGCAATGCATTGCAATTGATTTATTGCTCATCAGTTTAAGGTTTGATGTAAGGACATATTCATGGACACATTCATGTTGTCATAGTTTGTTTTCTAGGCTTACAGTGGATTTTCCATCGGTGTCTCAGATGTGCAGAAATATTGAAAATGGTTGAAGCTAAAGAAGTGTCAAAAACTAGTCAAGGCAAGTCAAAAGAAATATTGTGTAACTCGCTTCAGCTGAGTCTCACTGTACATAAAACACTATTACAGAAGTGACATATGACAGGTATATTTTTTTTTCAGTACTATTATTTTCTCTCTCTCTCTTTTTCCAGAGTTTTCTGTTGTTTGCCAGTCTGACATTGTATTTTCCCATCCTGGAGATGATGTTGTTCTGTCGTGTCATCTTAAGCCGGCTATCAGTGCTGCTTCAATGGAAATTCAGTGGTGGCATAAGGAGGATCCAGTTTTCCATTATAAGAATGGACAGGTGACAGTGAACATAGACTTTGAGGGTCGAGTGAGTCTCCCATTGCAAAATCTACAAAATGGAAATGTGTCTTTGTCTCTCCGAGACGTCAGGAGTTCACAGAAGGGCCTCTATATTTGTGAGGTCACCCATGAAAGTCAATCAATACAAGATACTGTTTTTCTCCATATCAGCTGTAAGTATTCAACTAAACAAGTTTCAAAGATAATCCAAATTAGTCAAAACGACTTCAGTTCAAAGTTTGAAATAGTTCCTCTACCTCTGCTGGTGCTAGCAAATGGTCACTGGTTCGATTCCCTTGAAGCACAAGTACTTATAAAATGCATAGTCAGGTCAGTTTTATTTATAGTTTTCCACAATGGACATTGCTTCAAACATCTTTACAGAAAAAATATTGCAGTAATAATATCTTAAACTCTGTTAAGGTCCTCATTTAGCCATTGAAATAAAATTATGCATCACTTGAATGCACTGTAAGTTACTTTGGAAAAAATGAGTCTGTCATTAATGTTTTCATTTATGCATTTAGCAGATGCTTTTTCCAAAGCAATTAGTAAAAGAGCCATCAATATTTGTAATATAGAATGCCAGGTTTATTAGACAACTAGATGAGGAAGCAAGAGAAATGCCAGTCAAATATAAAATTGTACCATATTTCAAAGTCTGCCTTTTGACAACAAGTTCCAACTTCGTAAATCAGACATTAAAATGGTCATAAAGTTATATTTATAAGGAATGTTACTGTTATCCATGCTATTCACAATATATATGTTTCTCTCCCTCCAGCTGAAGCCTTTGGACTTGTCACTCCTATTGGAACTGTATCTGCTGACCCTGGATCAGATGTCATCTTACCTGCTCATCTCTCACCTGAAACCAGTGCTGTGCCCCTGGACATTAGATGGTTCAGAGGAACAGAGCTCATTTATCAGTATAAGAACAGGCAGGAGAAAACAAACTATGAGAACCGAGTGAGTCTGTCCATCCAGGAGCTGAGGAGAGGTAATCTTGCTCTGACGTTGAGAAATTTTCAGCCTGCAGATTCAGGAGACTATACATGCAAAGTCTTTCACGATGGATGTCTGCAAACAGGAACAGTTCACCTGCAAGTGAGAGGTAAGATATTATAAAAACTGCAGCTGCAGCTTCTCTTCTCTAGTTAATTTCTGTAGTTTGTTCATGGAAAACATATCTGGACTTCTGTGTTATCTTTCATGTGTATATTTCATGTATGGCAGGTTAACATTACTGACATCTGAAATTTAAGAAAATGATGACCAAACTTTTAGTTTTGGGTGAACTAACCTTTATGAGCATGTTCCATGAAGTTTAATAACCAACAATTGTCCAAGATATTTGTCTTTATTTTTTTAACAATGTATCTTTTTTATATATATTTTGTAATATTATTTTGTGAAATATTTTGATTGAAAGGTGTCTCTGTGCTATATTTATTTAAAACAAATGCCACTTGTTTTGATATTTTGATATATGATACAAAGACATATACATTGTAAATTGTGGCTTTGGTGTCCAAATACTTTTTGCTGTGACACATTTAAAAATCACCTTGATTTTTGGTTTATTTTAGAGATTCAGAGGTGTGATGATGCTATACTGAGACATCTCCGCAGTGTGCTAAGACAAGTACAGAACGATATTCTGCTACAAAAAGCACAACTATTACAGGGAACCATAAATTTGCTTCAAGAAACACTTAATGAAGATGAAATGAGAGATAATGCCTTTGGTAAGTCTTAGAGACAATGAGAAGAAAAAAAGGCAGAAAGTAAATTGCATTTGATTAATACTATTTATTATTTTAATTTTAGGCCCTGCTCCTAGACGTTCAAATAGTAGGGAAGGAATTCCTCCTCTCAGTAAGATATCAATTTAAGTGTGTGTGTGTGTGTGTGTGTGTGTGTGTGTGTGTGTGTCTGGTGGGTGTGTGTGTGTGTGTGTGTGTGTGTGTGTGCGCGTGTGTTGGGGGGCAGGGGGTAAAACATGCCTTCATCAGAAAAGCGTCATGAAATCTTACAACCTCTAACGAGGACTGATAGTGACATCCACTTCAGTCTATAGTGTTTTACTCATTAGATGTGCCATCATGCATAAGAGGATGTAAAATAAATGTAAAAAAAGCTGTGTGTGTGTGTGTCTGGTCTGTGTGTGTGTGTGTGTTTCTAATCTGAAAGTTTGCAGATGATCAAAAAATACGTATAACTGTATTTTTAATAACATTTTACATAGCCATTTTATTTTTATCTTGTGATTGCCTGCAGTGGGTGACGATGGCATGCACCAGACACACACAATGGAGGCGGGCAGACATGTTTTTTTAGAGAGAAATTTCGATATGCACATTACCAGCAGAACACATTCAAGTGCACCAAACAGTAAGTGTCATAAGTGGGTAGATAAGATGTATGCAATTGCTGACTACCTAGAGATTTACTTTGTTTCTTTTTAAACTTTACATGAAATTTTTTTTTTTATTTAATCTGTGCACTAGAAAGCAGATTCTGTGTATTTTGTTAGTCATAATGTCTCGTTGTCCACAGTAAAGACTCTAGAAGTAGAAGGAACTAGAAGTGATTCTAGTTCCTGTTTGCTTGTTTTTTTTATGTCCATTATAGATGGAGGGCTGACTTACAGTACCATTACAGCTGCATTTGTTTTGTGATTTTGGTTAGTTTAATGTTATGCATGTCCTGTTTCTTTGCTTGTGTCAATATCACAGTGGCTAGACATGATGGTGCTCAAAACAGAAGACGAACAAGTGAAGGGAATATTACCACTCAGCAAGAGCTGTCACAGCTAATTATACAAACACAGAATCTGCTAAGAAATATAAGAGAATCAACCATTGTCCCTACAAGTGCTAGGACACATGGACAGGAGAACCCTGGAACATCAATACAAAGTATTGCCACAGAGCAAGAGAGATCCTCCTCGGCTGTACAATCACAGGTACAAGAAATAGAAAGACCATCAGAATCAGTCATGACACTAGCTGGAGAATCAACACGAACATCAGAGAGGCCAGAAGACAGAAGGCAAAGGACTCGACAGAGGCATCAAAGCATACAGAACATGTGCCAGATTATGTAATCACAAAGTAGGAGATATACAAGTATTACTAGTCTATTGGGGTTAAGCATGTTTATAGAACGATCTTAATATCTTTGTATATTTAACTGCATATTTAATGAATGTGTCATGTTGGAGTAGACTGGAATCAGTCACAATTTTTTGTGAAATCCCAAAAACCACACACTCTCACTCCAATACCCTGCTCTCCAAAAACAAACATCCAAAAGCAATTTCTGTTGTATCCAGAAGCCAGTATAAAGGACAGGCTCACACCAAGTACAATAACTGTATCAATAAAGATATAGTTTTAAAAATGGTTCCAAATTTAAAAGAATATCAGAGTCCACACCACAACCAAAACGATAACGGCACAGAGGAACAATATTGTTGAAATCACTTTCATGACAAGCTTTTCCAGCTGATGAACGATAAACACATGGACAGGCAATCAGAATCCACCTGACTTTAAAGAGCTCGAGCATTTCAAGTGGCAGACGACAAAACTCCAGTGCGCACTTATAATAAACAGTTATCATGTTGGTGTGGACGCTAATGTAGTTATAGTTATATTAGCCATCACAAAACTCTTAATAGCGATTCTGTGATGTCAGAAAATAAATTGGACATTTTATAATCGCTTGAAGATTGAAGTAGTTGTAAGTGGGAGGGAAAGTTATTGTGGTTTAAAATTAAAGGTACATGGGTTTTAAAATGATGTGCACGAATAAGTACTTTATAATAAACACTGCAATATTCCATAAAAATAATAAGAATGGTCAACCTTGATTTCATGATGACTTTAGAAACATGGTTGCTTCAAAATTCAGACCTGACTTAAATTTGATGTAGATATTATTGTTAGGCTATTTTTTTTTAATATAGTAGGCCTACATTATTAATAAATTATTCATATGTATATAAAAAAAATAATACAGAAAAGTAGAGTATAAAAATGAAAATAAATGCATTTTCCCAGACCTAGTCTCAGTTTTTATACGCATAAAAATATTTCATATTATTACAGTCTGTGACCGTCAGTTGCTTTCTTTACATCTTTTTGTATGAAGCGCCGACCGCGCCACGTCACAATCACCTACCGAACTCGCGTGAGTCCTCCCACCGCCCACGCGTGACATCCGAAAGAAAAAAAAATGAAATAAATAACGTTACATGAGCAAGGTGCAGTTCCGCCAGGAGCCGTGAGTGTGTGTGCGCGCGTGAATGTGTGTGTGGCGTCTGTCTGAAACGTGAACCGCTTGCGTTAGACATTCAAAACGGGGGAAATATCAGCACCACCATCCTCACCATCTTCATCATCCTCCTTCTGTTCCGCGCGGAAAACCTGTGCGCGCGCCAGCTAAATTAAATTAGAGTGGTGAAATTATTTGTGCGAGCTGCCTATGAAGGGGAGGAAGGTGTGACACAGACACTACAGAGTGTGTGTTGTGGTTTGCATTAGTGTTAATGCTCTTACTTACTACTCTCTTAATAATCAGCCGTGCAAAACTGGAGCATACATGTCGTGATCCGAGAAAAGCATCGGGTTATTCTTATGGATTAACATATGATCTGAATTCAACCCAGGTCGAGTGAGTATCCTGCTCAGTATAGATGTCTACACTGTGTCTGTATAGTGCACTAGATGTCTGTATATTTTGTGTGTGATGTTTGTTGCATGCATTTTTTTGTTATTGGATTAAATAAACTCTCTTGCTGTCTATGTATCATATGTTTCCAGTGTTTAATGGATGAGTTCTGGTAAACTAGGGCGAGCATTTCTTTCACAACATTCAACAAGTATTGCTTTGTGCTGCTTTAATGCTGGTGCGTTCATGGTGACATGCATTGATTCTTACACCAGCATTCATGTGGAATAACAGGAGCAGCATTCGTGCAGGATGTCAGGTGTGTGAAATGAGATGCAGAACACACTACATACATGTCCACATGTTTTGCACTGTCTGTTTGAGCGTATATATCCACACACAGCCAGATTTATGTGGATTCAAAGGTGGAATATGATGGCTCGGGATCATTTTCACATATTGGCCCTGGTGTAAGGCAGTCACCATGGATAATAGTGTCATCTCTTTCCTGCAGGGATGAGTAATCCGGGAGAGACGGAGACAGAGAGAGAAACAGACAACAGAGCAGAGCTTGTGTGAACTCGTGAAATAAAAGCATGGAAGAAGGCTGAAATGGGAGACATCAGGTTTTATTTATATACGGTGTAAATAATGAAAGAGCCGTCTATGGATGTTGAACTCGGTGAGCAGTGATCTGGTATGATTGCTGTAGAAACCGGAAAGCCAGTCGATAATTGAAAGATCTGTCACATGCTGCTGATTTAAATTCATAGTTATGCAAAATACATCCTTATTCCTCAAATTTTAGACAGAAGCAGCACTTGCTCTTAAATAAAATCACACACAGAGCTAAAAAGGATATGTGTTATTAGAACGTCCGCTAGTTTTTATTAATACATTTCTACTTACGGTTGATGTGCTTGTTTAATGATAGGTACGGTTTCAGAATTATTAGATTCTATATAATTCTATAATTAGAATTATCCTTGATTGAATTAAAGTAGGTTAATAAGGACTTGATGTTATTGATGAAGCTTAAGTACTTCAATATTATCCCCTATTTTCTCTGACGTTTATCTGTTCTTCTGTAAACATACAGTCAAAAAGGACACAAAATAATTAGGCTTTCAAGTTTAAGTCTGTTTGGACTGTGAGATTGAATTGCTATAACGGTCGGCAAGATTTTTATTATTTTTTTGAATGAGTCTTTTCTGCTCACCAAGGCTGCATTTATTTAATCAAATATGCAGAAAAATTGTGAAATATTATTACAATTTAAAATAACTGCTTTCTCTTTGAATTTATTGTAAATTATATTTTATTCCTATTAATCAAAGCTGAATTTTCAGCATCATTACTCCAGTGTTCAGTGATCCTTCAAATTTTCAGCATCATTACTCCAGTGTTCAGTGTCACATGATCCTTCAGAAATCATTCTAATATGCTGATTTGCTGCTCAAGAAACATTTCTTATTACTCTCAATGTTGTTCAAGAATCTTTGATGAACAAAAAGTAAAAAAAAAAAAAAAGAAAGTCAGCATTTATTTGAAATCTTTTGTAACATTATGAATGTCTTTTGTCACTTTTGATCAATTTAGTGCGTCCTTGCTCATTCTTTTAAATCTTACTGACCCCAAACTTTTGTATTATCAGACACAATTCAGTGCTTATCTTTTTTTCTCCCTCTGCTTTCATGTCCTCTTTTATGTTCTCATATTAGCACAAGACTCTTTTTCGGTTTCGTTTCCCCTCTATCTTTTTCTGTAGTTATATTTTTTATGTTTTTTTTCTGAAGCAACATATCAGATCTATATACTTTTTGAAGTATTAGCTCCATATTGTAAAATATTGCCTGTTATTATCCAGATTTTAAGGCAGATTGATCCATAGACGGTGTGAAGTTTATGTACTGTAGATGGCAGTAAAATGCATGTTGTAATGCTGAAATGAAGTAGTACGGGTATTTTTTTTTTTCTATCAGAATTGGGTGTTTTTTAGCTTTTTTTATTTAGTTTTTTTTATTTAGCAGCATTTAATCCACATTAAAACCGTTGAATGTTTTTTTATCTCCTAAGTTTCTATTATAGCATGTTTCCAGTAGTTAAAGAACCTTGTCCCATATGTAGTTAAACAGCTGTAGTTGCAATATTTCAGTCAGGACAGTCCTTGTGAAGTTGTGATGTGTCTGTTGACTATCACATGATGATGGCATTGTGCTCATCTCCGTGCTCTTACCGCTAATAGTTTCTCTGTCTCTCTCTTTGCTGTAATTGCTGTTAAACTTGAGAAAGAGCTGAGCTATCAGATGCAGAGGTGAGGAAGGGGTTACGCTCGCTGCATGTAAGACGAAACACTTCCCTCACTTAGCAACTTTGACCTCTCACTCAATTCATATTTCTCGTCTGGTTATGCAGTTTTGTACACAGCGTCTGTTTGCCACTGAAGGACAGAGGTATGACACTTAAAATACTCCAGTTGTAGTTGCAGTAACTTGTGTAAATTATATTTCTCTATTTTTTTTAACAAGGATTTACATTTTAATTTAAAACATTTTACATTTAAATTGGTAGCAAAAATTTTAACACTTATTTTTTATGTTATAATTTATTTAGGATTATTATTCTTTTCCCAATCACATAAAATATGTAATTTAAATTTTTTTAATTACCAGAGCATAATTCAAATTTTTTTTTTTTGTTACTTTGTATTTTTATGATTAATCTTTTTCTCTCAATCAGACAAAATATTAAAATTCACTTTTTATGATTACCAGAGCATATTTAGATATTTTTGTTCTTTTTTTTTGTTTTTATATTTTACATTTAATTTTTTTGCTACTTTGTGTTTATTTAGGAGTATTATTTCTGTCAACCACAAAAATATTTAAATTAACTTTTTATGATCACCAAAGCATATTACATTTTTTTTCCTTTTAAAAAAAAAACGTATTTTACATAGAATTTTTATTATTTATTTATTTGTTTTTTGCCAAGAAGCCTCAATGGTGCATAAAAACAAAGGTTTTAAAAGGTTTAACTTTGCTCAAAAACCCCAAAATGTTTAAATTTAGTTTTATGCTTACCTAATTTTTGATTTCCCCCCCTTTTTTGATTATTTAAAAATGTAATCTAAACTTTATATCTTACTAATAATTCTTGCATTTCAGAATAGAATTGTTTTGGTTTCCTTGTAATTAAATATGGAATTCCATTCCTTCTTTGATTTTCCATTATTATTCCGTTTTATATATTTTCCTGCATTCTTTTGTTGTTTTCCATTTGACCCTTTTCTGACCAGAGGCTTTCTAATTTGTTAGTCCTGTATTTTAAAAGCATTACTTCTAGTCCAGCATCTCTAATATCTCATACACAGGTTAGTGTGCAGCACACGTTTCCAAAAAGAGGAAGGCTCTCTGCTGGCAGCCAGTATAGTGTGCTCTTTTGTTTGGAATATAATGGGCTGCTATTTGTGCTCACAGGTAGCTCAGAATGATAGTTTGCCCTTAAGGAAGGAAACACTTTTCTACACAGCTGCTGAAGCAGACAGTATGGAGTCTTTCCACTGCAGTCTGTAGCGCTGAATGAAAATGTGAGACGTGCACACACACAATCAGAGTCTGAGTTGTGTTCACAGCTGCAGAAATAGACACAGCACCAGTGCATCACGTGACACTTCTGTCTATCCGAGAGGATTTTTGTGATGTGAATGCGTTTCTTTTTGGGTTTTATTGCTAAAGTATTTTGGTGTCAATAATTATCCCATGCATGCAAGAGATAAGACCTCTAGCTGGAAGGAAAAAGATCATTTTATTTCTCTCTCTCTCTCTATCTGCCCATTCATGCCATATTTCTTTCTGCATCAGTGGATCTGATGTTTTGACCTTTGAAGGAGGGAGAGAGCGAGAGGAAGACGTGGGACGGTGTGTGTTTTTGATGAATGTCTCGATAGAATGGTTGAAATTGTTGGCGTACAGATCAGATGTGTTTGGAGAGGGACGCGTGTGGTGTGAGGCGCGGGACAGTGTGTGTGTGTGTGTGTCACTGCAAAGGGGAGGCGACTGCAGCACTCTGCATCGCTGCACTTCCCCTCATGGCCTGATGGGGCTCCACTGCACCAAACAAATGTGAGAGGGGCTGCCAGACTTTTTAGAGATGATGGGAGAAGGGTCTGGCTGCAGCCTTGCGCTTGCACTCTACAGATGGCTTGCAGGACCTTGTACGTTACGGTACAAAATTAGTTTTAATCGTTTAATCACCACCACAGCGTCTTGTCTCCATTGGCAACACGCACGATTTGTGTCGATTGCAAGTGACGTCGCAGGTATCGGAGAGTGCAAGTGGCGATTGCAAGTGACTTCGTAATTTAGTTTCTTTTGTCTTGTCTTCACCACCTGGCTACTGTTGTAAAATGTTGAGAGATTCAAACAAAAAGAATAAATAAATAGAACAAAATAAAAAAATAAAGACTGCAAGTGATGTCGCTAGCGGAAGCGCAAGTGTCTGAGAGTGCAAGTCTGAGAGTGCAAGTGCAAGGCTGCAGCCAGACCCTTTTGGATAATGGGGAAGAGATCAAGAACTACTGTGGTGGAGGGATACATATCATGCAACTTATATTCACATCTGCTTTCTCTCTTTTTCTGATCCTTTTTTTTCATGACCTCTGCTTTTCGTCCTTTTTGCCCTGCTGAAAAATGAAAGGCATCTTAAACCAACCTAAACTGGTTTGTTGGTCTCCCAGCCTGGTCAGGCTAATCTGTTGGTGGTTGTAACAAGGTTTTGGGCTTTTTGCCTGGTCAGGCTTGGGAGAATAACTCAAACCAACTAAGACCAGCTTTTTAAATAATTTACTCACCCTCGTGTCGTTCCATATGACTTACTTTCTTCTGTGGAATTTATATATATATATATATATATATATATATATATACAGTGGGTACGGAAAGTATTCAGACCCCCTTCAATTTTTCACTCGTTATAATATATATATATATATACATATACAT